GCTGCTCATTTTCTGTTTCATATGGGTTAAATCTGCCGTGTGGGGCTGGCTGCTCATTTTCTGTTTCATATGGGTTAAATCTGCTGCCCCCTAGGGCGGTACGAGTATACATGATCATCTAGGGGCTGCCACTTATTTTTTCTTGTCTAAGAAGATTTGATCGTGTGATTTTCACCGCCGTGAAAGCATCCACTTGTGCGTGGAAGGTCTGAAGACCAGTCATGCCATGAATCAATTGGACGGTTGCATGAGCGAGTGCGTTCTGAGGTCGGGAGTCTTTGAGATTTTGACTTTCGGACCTGGCAGTTGGTGGTGCCACGTCATGCGGTCTTGAGGCTAGGAGAGATTGAACCTTCCTGCCACAGATTCGAGAAACGCAAGGTACCACAGACCGGACGTGCGCAGTGAGTTGGAAAAACTCCTACGTACAATTTGACACATGACGAGTGCAATGTATTCTCTAATCGTAGAAGGGGTTAGCGTATTTTCAGACCGTATCTATAAATGATGCTGATGTGGATATGGAGAAAGGGAAATGGAAGAATGCTGGGATGTGGGTGTCCATTCTGTATCTAGAACCCTTTCTACGGATTTGCTGATGTGATTGCGGTCCTGCACGAATTAATCTGCAAAATGTGAAAACACGAAGTGGAATAGGTCCGGCTGAGTTTCTGTAATTGATTGGTGTTTTCACCAAGTGGAATAGGTGCGGCTGGGTTTCCGACGTAATGAGAAATGGGGCTCGAGTGCAAAAGCAATTATGGAAATGATGCCGCGTGACAACTGAAGAATCCTGGGGATTTTTTTCCCACTGGAGCACAATGGCGGCCTGATGTGGTGTACTGTGCGTGGCTGATACGAGTTCGTTAGTCGCTCCTAAGCGTGTCCTGTGCGGCTGAAGATGGATCCCTGGAAAACAAGTTAGGGTTTTGGTCTGTTCGTTTGGCTCCTTGGAGGGTCGGCTTTAGGCCTAATATCAAGAGCAATGTCAGAAAAAAAAGAAAAAAGAATAAAAGAAAAAGACGTGCCTGCCTGCAGGCTTTCAGCCCATAGGGTGCCGCCACGATCCGGATGCTTACGTGCATGTCCTCTCCTCTTTGTGAAACACGACGAAATCGGGAGGTCCTTTCGCGGTCCCTTCGAGGTCCCCCCCCACGAGGTCCCTTGGAGCTAAGGACGAAATGGCTTTGATTTCCGATTTTATTTCCCCTGACATGTGGAAGGACACGACGAAATCCGTGGAATCATCCAGCGGCCTAGCTCAGTTGGTAAGGCACGCAAGTGGCATTCAGGAGGTCCTGGGTTCAATCCCCATTGGCCTCATGTACCTTCCTGGGCAAGCTTGGAGCCCGCCACCTAGAGATATGCCGTTGGTCCACCCGAGCGGCATTGAGCAGAGACTGCTGATGTTCATAGGGGGAGGGGACCGGAGGGGAGGCGCACTGACTGGCCCATCGAAGAAGCTCGGTCCTGATGCTACCGGCTGACCCCTGGCCGGTATCGCCCACATGCTGTAGCAGGTGTCGCACCTGCTGGTGGGTGCAGCTCCCGCATGTTCCCTCGTTGGAGGCTTGAGCACGGATGTGGCTGCTACGGGGTTCCCCGTAATACTATAATGACAATAAAAAAGGCCTGAAAGGCCATCCTGTCCAGATTTGACAGGTAATTGAATTGGTTGGGCTTAAAGAATTAGCCTTAAATCCGTGGAATCGCGTTCCCGAGCAGTGTCTAATGGGGCCCCAAGCATCTGGACCGTAGAAAGACGGAGCGAAGTGCCACTGGTGTCTTGCCTGTGCTGGGAAAATTTGAAACACGTATATGATTTGCAGGTAGCATATAGCGGTGACGTGGCACAACCACTGTGCCGGTGGGCCCTGCCTATCAGAGGTGATGATACGTTGTCAGGGGAGCCAGTGGGGCCTAGGATAGCCATGATGGAGAAGAGAGAAATCGTGACCAAATTCAGCGAATGGTGTGTGTAACATCGCCTTGCATGGTTTCTTCAGTTTTTCTTGTTTTTTTTTTTCCACTGGGAAATGGGCTTGGAGTATTACAATCGATCGAGCTGCGTGGGCCCAGGCAATCCAGAATTATTTTATGGCATTCGTCTATTTCCAGGGATCTTGTATGGGGATTCGTAGTCAGGTGTGCGTACTGACCGAGATAGGCCGTTTCTTCATTTTTCAATTCCACGGGGTGATTAAAACCAGTATTTTGCTGGGCCCATGGTCTTCGACCGGCCGGTGACATTGTGCTGTGCTGCATATCGCCTTGCTGCACTGCCAATTGAGCAGCTGGGGGGCCGAAAGGAGATTGTTTCTGTTTCTTAGGCCTGCGAGGGGAAGAAGTTCAAAAACTGTGAATGTGTGCTGAAATGATATGAGCAGGCCTGTTGGTGCTTGGCATGGTTAGCATGGATGCTCTATGAACTTCAATAGTTAATTTTAGGAAGAAGGTGTCTATAGGAAGAAGGTGTCTATTTGTCTTTGTGATGGTGATGGGTTTGACCACTGCTGTAAGAAAGAGTGGTTGCTATTTCCTGGGGAAGAGGGTGGTGGATGCTGCAGCTGAGTAGTCACAAGGCGGGTTTCTCTCAGTTGAATGACGATTGCTGGATATTGTGAGGTGCATCGGTGCCCCTTCCATGGCTGCCTTAAACCACCACTACCTTTCCAAGCACAACTGCCTTTCCAAGCAACTTCAAAAATAGAGAATGTGCCCTTCTGAGGTTCTTGAGAGGCAGAGCAAGCCAGAACGAAAATCACATGCTGGGCTGGCTCTTTGGCAAAGCTTGGCATGGAGTCGAAATCAGCCACTGTGAAAAGAGGCTCGGAGGTAGTTGTGGTTTAAACCACCAGTACACGCCCCCAGCCTTGCTGAAAAGAAATCGGTTGCCTATCTGGAGATGTCGGCGCCCGCACACCATCCATGTAAGAAATCGGTGGCCGGCATCGTTTTTCAGCTTCTTGTACGGCGCAGCGGCCGATGTGAGGTGTGTGCTGGTCGAGTAACCTACCAAATGCTCCCGTGTTGGATGTTTTCCTTGCTTCCAACGATTGCCAAGGTGGATTCTCCCTGCGTGCGAATCTTTGCGGAAACACCAGCATGGTTTTTCCTTTTGTTTCGGCTCGGGCAAGCTATTTTTGTTGGGCGCGCCAGAGGCTCGAAAACTTTTTGAAATGATGACTTTTCAATTCTCATGCTTTTCCCTAGAAGATGCACTACATTGCTTCTGCTGCACCTATGGCGTGTGTGTGGGTTTGCGATGACCTGTCTCGCTGCGATTGCGTGATAAATCCACGTGGAAATGCAAACGACGCCTTCGGCGCCTTCGGTCGGAGGAGGATTTCCAGAATACGGAATGGTTACAGTAATGAGCGGCAGAGGGAGACTGTCATTACGACGTAAGGAGCAGGAGGACGAAGATTTCCGTGTTGAGGAAGCTTGCAAGTGTCAGGAGAACTCTGGCAGTACACACGCGCAGCAGTGATAATACTCCCACAGCAGGAGAACCGGTGTCATGCTCGTACAGAAACGGTTCAGCAAATCTGACGGCTGTTCCAGTCTTCGCTATGACTGCAAACTCAGGGCCATGTTACGGCTAAAGTCTCCGATGTTCAGCAGAGAGAGAAAATCGTCCTGCAAAGCAGCTTTTGCGTAAGAACGGGTAAAGTAAGATACACCAACTTGAACACTCCATTACTCACACATATGAAAATACAAAGATGTTGCAGAATTTGAGTTCTGTGTCATCTTTGTCTTTTCATGTGTGCATAACAGAGTGTTTGACTTTGTGTATCTTTCTCCATTCTCATGTGAAACCCATCTCTCTCTCTCTCTCTCTCTCTCTCTCTCTCTCTCTCTCGCGCGCGCGCGCGCGCGCGCGCGCGCGTGCGCGCAAGCGTGC